AACAAGTTTGTGAACTTAATTGTCAGAACTTCATAGATGCAAAAATCCTCAATAAAATATTAGCAAACCAAATTCAGCAATACATTAGAAAGATCATACACCATGGTCAAGTGGGCTTTATTCCTGGCATGCAAGGTTGGCTCAACATCTATAAATCAATGTGATACACCACATAAACAAAATTAAAGATAAAAATCATATGATCATTATAAATAAATGCAGAAAATTCATAAAATTGACAAAATCCAGAATCATTTATAATAAAAACTCTCAGGAAAGTGGGAAGAGAGGGAATATACCTCAATATAATAAAGGCCATATATGAAAAACCCACAGGTAACATCATACTCAATGGGGAAAAGCTAAAAGCATTCTCTTTAAGATCAGGAACAAGACAAGAATGCCCACTTTCACCACTTTTATTCAACATTGTATTGGAAATCTTAGCCACAGCAATCAGGCAAGAAAAAGAAATAAAAGTCATCCAAATTGGAAAGGAAGAAGAAAAACTGTCATTATTTGTATATGACATGATACTGTATAGACAGAATTTAAAAGATTCTACCAAAAACTATTAGAACTGATCAATGAATTAAGTAAAGTAGCAGAATACAAAATTAATATTCAGAAATTGGTTGCATTTTTATAAACCAATAATGAACTGTCAGAAAGAGAAATTAAGAAAACAGTCCTATCTACAAATGCATCAAAAATAAATAAAATACCTAGGAATAAATTTAACCAAGGAGGTAAAAGAGTTGTACTATGAAAGTTATAAGACACTGAAGAAAGAACTTGAAGAAGATACAAATAAATGAAAGCATACATGGTGTGCATGGATAGGAAGAATTAACATCGTTAAAATGCCCATACTACCCAAAGCAATCTATAGCTTCAGTGTGATCCCTAGCAAAAATACCAATGGCATTTTTCACACAACTAGAACAAATAATCTTAAAACTTGTATGGACCTGCAGAAGGCCCTGAAGAGACACAGCAGTCTTGAAAAAGAACAAAATTGGAAGTATCATGCTACCTGATATCAAACTATACTACAAGGCTATAGTATCATGTTATA